GAGGCCGGGGGGGGGCGCAAATACCCCCCCAGCCCCGCCTGCCACTGGCACACCTGCTCGCGGCTCAGCCGGGCAGCAGCAGCCTCGCAGGCGCTGTTCTGGCCAGAAGGTTCCCTCAGCAGTCTGGCCTGACTCAGCCTCTCCTGAGAGTGCCCGTGGCAGAATCTTGGTAAAGAACTGACTCAGCACCGTTTCGGCTGAGACCAAAACCCAGTCCAAGGAGGCATGGTCTCCTCCCCGCTCCAGGAAGACCCCAGTGCTTTTAAGTATGATCTGCATCTAATTCCTTTCATCCCTGCCCTAAGAATCAGACAAGCATGCTCTTAGGGAGATGGAGAAGCCACATTCCAGAGAGATGGACTCCCCTCACCTCATTCCCCTCAAGCCACCTACGCGTTCCTAACCCTGCTGCTGCAGTGGCCTTGCACAGTCCCAGTCTGAGGGTCGGAGTGCCCAGGCTGGCCAGTGTCCCTGCAGGCCCATAGTGGCACACGCTGTGGCCCTGTCTGCTTCTTCGCCAACAGGGAGGACCTTCATGGCCAACTTCACTGCAGGCACTCAAGGGTGCAGATTCATCAAAAAGGGGGGCCCCAGTCTCCCCCAAATCCTGCATTTCAGAATCTGGCTCTCTTAGGGGTCCTTCCCAACCGTGCAATGTTAACCCCCAAACAGTCTGCAGGAATCCAGTCTCAACCTAGTGCTGCTTCCCTAACCTCCAGGGAGGGGAAGCCCTTCTACACATGCCCCTCACTTCCTCCTCCCTATGCATCCTTCCTGTCCCCTAAGAATTTCCATTTCATCTGATCTTCTCCCCATTCCCATTCAGCCAATGGGGACCTTCAGTGCTGAACCCACATATATCTGTCCCAATTACCCAAAGGCGTGGAAGGGAGTGAGTGTCCATAAAATAGACCATTCCAGCATGCGTTCCCTCTCCCCTGCAGGGAGGTGATTTTCTTCTCTAAAAGCAACATCCAGGGAACCCGACCTTTTCCCACTCTCAGCCACTGCAGGGGGCTTCTCTCGGTGTACACCCTCCCCCACACCCTCCAGGGCTCCCAGGTCACCCGCTTCTTCCTCCCAGCCATCCGCTGTCCGACAGAGCTGGCCTGCCGCAACCTAACCTGGAGGGAGCTCTTCAAACGGGGCCTGGTAGTGATGGGGTCACCTCGCTATGGGTCACCCCAATCAGACCCTCCAGCACTGCCCCCTTCCCTCCACTCCTCCTGTGAGGGTGCCCTTGATTTTCCCCAAAAGCAGCCCCCCCACGAACCCCCTTTCTAGCGAACACAGATTTTTTTCAGCTAACCCCATCCCCCCAAAGAACACGGGAGTCCCCCCGCTCACCAACCGGGGACCCTGTGGGCAACCCTCGGCATCCCGTCTCCGCGATCTCTCCGAGCGGACGTCTCTGGTGTCCCCCCCAGACAGACATCCCAGGCCTCCCTCCGCACCCGGACCCCTGGCGCCCAGCACGGGACTTCCATCCGCTCTGGAGCGCTTCCTCATCCTCTTGGGGACCCCTCGATCTTCCCTGAAGAGCCTCCAGCCTCGGCCTCCCAAGGGGTGCCTCCGGGCTCGCCGCTCGCCCA